ACAAAAGTGTAAATATGATTTTCGAGATAAATGACGCGGCCGAATTCAAAGGCCCCGCTTGTACTGTGAGTGATGACAAAATGTACTTTAGAGTTAGCTTTCCCTATAATGTGTAGCCTAAGGTGCATAACATCACTAGGGATGATTAAATTGTCATAGGTGTATCTGTGATAGGTAGGACACAAGATTCGAACCTTGTCACCGTAATCCAAGTTTGTTGGTAACCAGTTTCATTGTCATCCTGTTCAGTACCAAGCCTATTTAATTGGGTTTACAATCACAAGTCCCGAGACCTAGTTTTCGGGTCCCCGTAACCGAAAAGTAGATCTCTGTACCTTACGGGTTTACTCCTCTTTACTGTTCATTACACACAATATCACAAGTTATCTCTTACTCGTTAAATAACACCGTACAAATCCTATAAGATCGTATCGGCTGAATACTGCTCTCCAATATCTTATTCACATGAATCGTAGTATATCTTATTACTTGCAGACGATAGGGACAGTACGACTTTTTCCCTTCGTTTAACAATCTGATCGTCTCGTTCCCCTTCTCTCTCCCCCCGCCACCGCCGCCGCCGCCGCCGCCGCCGCCGCAAACAGTACTGTGCGTTGCATATCGCGGTGATGGCAAGGAGTTGGCCCTCGCTCTTCTAAACGGTGATATAGTCTTCTACGATCCCATTGAGGGTGTGGAGAAGGGGACGATAAGCGGACAGCGCGATCTTGGGGTCAGTCAGACCACTGAACAAGATCTGGTGACACCGAAACGTTCGGCCCAAGCCAAGTCAGTATATATTCAATATGATAATGTTTTTTTAGTTTTTATTCTTAGGTGACTTATGAATGTGTCTGTGTGCAGGTCCACTGCAGATTGATGTCCATAAATGTAATTTGAATTAATTCTGCTATCGCTTTCAATTTCCTTTCTGTTTAATGACTTTGTAAGTGTACAGATATTTTTAAGAGGGAGGCTGCTCCCAATTCGCGGCTGCCTCGAGGAAATCCAGTAATGAAGAAGATGCATGTTAGGATTCAAACACAATTTACGGGCCGGTAATGTAATTGCTTTAGCCACTTATTTCCAAGTTCCGTGGAATTCACC